AGCCTGTCACACACAGGCCTTAGCTTTGCAAGCACTTTCTCCATTTAATCACCTTAAGCTAGGCTGTATGAAAGATCTTCTGCTAATCTACCCCAGTAAATACGGGACACCAGGAAACCTAAAGAGTTTTTAGTTTTCTTTCTTAAAAACTCTAGAAATACAAAAATACTTACTTGAGGACTTTTTGCTCAAGTGGCAATGCTACTTGTAGCTAAGCAGCAATCAAATGTGTTAATAAAGAGGCTCATTTCAAACGCATTTGCAAAGCAGCCACAAAGAGCTGAAACATATTCTGAGCTGAAGAGGTAGGAATTGCTCTCATTGCCTGAAAGCTTTAAAGTTCACAAGTATCAGAGGGGGCAGATTCCTTAGGAGAGAGGACAAGAATGAATGCTCCATTCTCCCAAAAGAAGGTCCCCCATTCAGGTTAAATTAGGTAAAACAGTGAATAAAAGGGAAATCTTGTGATAGAATTTCTCCAAAATCTATGTGACCCTTAATGCTCCACCTGCACAACACAGCATTAATACAGAGTGAACCATGACAAAGAAAACCATCAGGAATAAAATACTGTTTTGGTATTTGTCCAGACAAATTACTGCAGCCTTGTGAAGGGATTTCTACAAGCAGAAGGGAGCAGCCACACAATCACAAGCCCTTGTCCTCACGGGGCACTTCAACCACACCAGTATCTGTTGGAGGGACAACACAGCAGGGCATAAGCAACCCAGGAGGTTCCTGGAATGCATGAGAATTTCCTTCCCATGAGATAGAGGAGCCAATGCTGGACTTTGTTTTCAACAAGGAGGGTCTGGTGGGGAATGTGAAGCTCAAGGGCATCCTGGGTTGTAGTGACCAAGAAGTGGTAGAATTCAAGGTCCTTGGGGGAGCAAGGAGAGTACCTAGCCAGCTCACTACCCTGGACTTCAGGAGAGCAGACTTCAGGGATCAGCTTGCCAGAGTACCATGGCATAAAATCCTGGAGGAAAAAGTGGCCCATGAAAGCTGGTTAATACTCAAGGGTTATTTTCTCCAAGCTTAAAGAAGCAGTCAGGAAAAATACCATGACATATGCACGGATGACAAGGATCTCCTAACCAAAAATAAACAACAAAAAGGAAGACTGCCAAGAGTGAAAGTGAGGACAGGTAGCCAGGGAGAAATACAGAGATATTGTCTAAGCATCCAGGGATCAGGTTAGGAAAGCTAAAGCTCTCACAGAATTAAACTTGATCAACATCAAGAGCAGTAAGAAAATCTGCTGGAGGTGCACTGGCTACATGTGTGCCCTCTCCAGAACAGGAGACTGGTTACATGGCTTATGGAGAATGCTGAGATACTCAAAAATTGTTTTGTCTGAGTCTTCAACGGCAAATGTTTCAGCCACACCACCTGAGTGGCAGAAGACAAAGGCAAGGACTGACTAAATGAGGAACTGCTCACTGTCTGAGAACATCAGGCCCAAGACCATCTTAGAAGCCTGAAGATGCACAAGACCATGGGATCTGGTAAGATGCGTCTGCAGGCCCCGGGAACTGGCAGATGAAGCTGCTAAACCATATCTAGCATACTTGAAAAGTCATGTCAGCCTAGTGACATGCATCTAAGTGTTTAATCAGGACTTGACAGGCCTTTCTACACTGAAAAGAAACACCATGAATGGAGGAAATTATTTTGGCTCACTTAATAGGAAACTTCAGTCCTTGAACAGTAATTCTTAACAATGAATGGTCCTAGGTTATTGATAAATGCACTTTTTTTTTTTTGGCGGGGGGGTAGAAAAGCTATTTTACTATGTTGTCTCACTCTAACTCATTTCTGATTTAGACTTTTTGTAATGAATCTGGTTCTTGCTTCACATAAGCAAAGAACTTCACATCTATTCCACAAAGGAAAGAAACAGAGGGATTTCTTCACATGAATTATTTGATTTAAAAAGGATTTAAAAACTCATCTTTACTTAAAACCAGTAGCCAAAAGACCTTAGCATTTGGATAAAGATACCTGATGAGTCTTCATCAGCATAATATTTGGGAAAAGGCACACACTTACAAAAATGAGTACAGGTTAGGGTTAGGGTTAGGTATGTTTTATATACTTGCACTCTTTATCCTGCCTCCACAATTGTCCAGACTGGAAAAGGACTGGATTGCACCAGGGCTATCATTTGATCAGAAACAGAGGTATTGGTGTGTATAAAGGAAGCAGCAGTGATGCTTATCATGAGCCATTAAGTTTGGAAGAATGTTTACATTCCACAGTACAGATTCAGCTACAGTGATCAAAACCATCCAAGATTTTAACCATACATGAAAAGCTACCAAACCCTGGCAGGGATTCCTAAAAAACTGCACCTCCACCCCTCTATTTTCCTTTCCAGTACTTCTATTATCATGCAGATATTAAATTCTTTTTAATATTCTGATAAGCCTAGTAAAAGACTAGAAACTTCCAGTTTCTTGACTTCTGTTTTTTAGAAAGTATCTTTGAACATACTGCTCTGTAAAACAGAGATGCACATGGAAACAATATTTTTCTCATTGTTCTCTGGTTGTATTACACAGTGCCACTAAGTTTTAGCTGCTTTTTAAACATAACCCAAATAAATTTATGCATTAAGACAATGATTGCTTGCCTTTTTTGTGAATGACAAGGACATTTTTGATTATTCTGGAACTATGCTTCATATATGCTTACTCCCACCTTACATTCTTCTCAAGGCATCAGTTTTTGTCAGCTGCCAGAGACAAAATAGATATTTGGTCTATGCAGTACAGCTGCTTTTTTGTTAATTTCTAAATAGAGGTAGAAAACAAATTCCGCACAAGTTTCTCTTTGATTTTTGTTGTCTTTCAAAGCAAATGTTTAAGTTTCATCACATTTCTAGCTATGTAAGCTTGGTTCTTTTTTTTTTTTTTTTTTCTGAAGAGAGGAATTTAACACATTCTCCAATATTGAGTAGATGTAGTGCTGACTCCACCATGAAAACTGCAGGGTCAGAGCCACTGCTGAGGGAGCAGTAACAACTTTCCTCTCAGTAGTATCAAAATAGCACTGGTTTTGTGCTGCTGCAGATTTCACTATAGCTGAGAAATAAAAAATAATATTGTTTACATCAGCACAAAATCCGGTCTTCAGTATGCAGCCAGCTGCACATAAAATGACGAGAAACATATGCAAAAGCGTGCATTTATTTCAATCAGGTCTTTAGCAACCACATAAATGCGCAGCTTGAAGTACTGTTGATAGACATCTTCAGCTCAGGGCAACTTGCATTTGTCCAGACCCTTTCCAGCAAAAGGCAACATATCTAAAATCAGACCTCTTGACCCAAACTTTCTATGCTTACTGGTTTTAAAGGAAACAGTGAACAAACCTGCCCCAGCAGAGTTTAATCAATGATCTTGTAAACTGATTATTACACAAACAATCCACTATTGCTTTTGGGTGACTGTACACACACAGAAAAAGACATCACTTTATTTTTATACTTTTAGCTGGGGTGATTGCATGTTGTTAGTGCCTATTTATACAGGCAAGCAAACAGGTAACTACATTTGCAAACAGAATTAAATATAATCCTTTAAAAATACAGCAAACTTCAGGTGTAGGTATTTCTTTTAATGCTGTCCACGTGATTCCAATGTTATTTGAACTTACCTGCATATTTGGTTTTGCCTATTTCTCATAGTCCATGATTAGATGTGCCTGGTGAATTTTAAGTTATTTGACATTTTGACTACAGTATTTAAACAATACTTTACCAAAGACTATAACAATATTTACCTTAAATATTTTGCATACTTGCCACTCCCACTTTTCCTTTGATTGTACTCAATTTGTTGACAATCTGTTAAGTACTCTCTAGTGCATCCTTTGCACAACCTGTTCTCACAACACAGTCCATCTTCACACAGTCATGTTCCATGCCTAATGCTATGTTGCCATCTGTTGACCAACTGAGCAGTTGTAGGACTAAGACAAGACACTCAAGAACACAAAATCTCCAAAAGATTTTACAAGCTTAAGTTTCTCCTTTGTATTTACTTCTTTTGCTCTATCTAAGAATGTTACTTTAAAATCCTCCTATTTTTTTCCTTAACTTTTATTAATTTAAAGGGAAAAAAATGGCATTAGGTTTTCAAATATCTTCAAAGGCAAYAAAGACTGTCTAAAGGTTAAAATTAATTGGAAATACATTGGAAACAAAATTGTAAGAGAAATATATTGCATATACTGAAATGCCTATCTTGCTACAATGTTACATTTTTCAGTTTTGAAAGGTGCCCAAAGGGATGAAGAAAATACAGCCACAGAAAAAAATGAAAATAAAAAAGGGTCGAAGCACTTATTATGTGATTCATTATTCATAGATTACTTTTCTCTCTTTGAGTTTAAACTTAAATGCAGAGAAAAAAGCAACATGCTTGTACAGGATAGTCTTTCAGCTGGATTTAAAAGGGTGCATGAATTACTTTTGCTAGGATGTTTAGTATCATCATAGGCAGGACATTCTCCATGCCTGCTTCACTTGGCATCTGAAAAGTATATTTACCTCTAAATAACATGTATAAAAACAAAGTATTACATTTTTATCCTCAAAGGAGATTTGTAGGATTAACTTCAGAAATAATAGAAAGCCTTAAAAAAATTCTGATCATGAGGACCATGTATCAGAAAGGATTTGGTTTGCATAAAGCCATTAAAGTTCAGAACCAGAATCTTTTAAACCAGAATCTTTTAAAGAATTTAAACATGGAAGACTTTTTTTTTAAAAAAAAAAAAAAAACATGATAAAACCTCAACTTTGATGTTTAAAAAATGGAGTTTAAAAAAAAGCACAAAATTGCTTTATTAATATTAATAAAAATTATCATGTTTTATATTCATGCAGCAAAATGACATAAATCAACTCAGTGGCTTAAACATTGCATTATGGTGCTGACTTCAACAATTTATATGGATATAAAAATTTCTTTAGTCTCTAATTAATGACTCACCTTTGAATCATCCAGTTCCAGCTTTTTCAGAGACCTTCTGACATAATCTATGAAGGAGGATGATTTGGAGAAGGTTTTTCCAACATGTCGATCACTGCAAATACAGTACTGAGGTGTAGGCTTTTATACACTCAACAACAGAAATGCAGGTATTTCCAACAGGAGAAGAAGATCAGTTGGATTGCTACTACTGCCAAGTTAGTAACAACCTTCCTTTTTCCCTATTCCACTTAAAACAATTTAGTTAATACTTGAAGTAACTTCTAGACACAGTATAATTGAATTATGGTTATAGTAGGGCTGTTACTTTACCTGATAATTTGAGAGTTGAATGTTCTTTTTAATTTCTTCACTAACATTTTTATTTCCCTATATGAATGAAAAAATACTTCCGCTGACAGACATTTCCTTTTATACATCTATAACACTTCCATAATCTACTATAAGGCTGTTGTAATTTATTTAAAACCAATGACAGGACTAAGCAAATGTCACTTTTGCTTGTTACCTTGTTTTCTTATCCTGGCAATTTTTATTTCACTAAATGATGCCAGAATTTTGTCCCATTCACAATTCAATAGCTTGCACTTGAAGCCACTCAAAAATATGGGCTGTTTCAGAAAACACATCAAAATAATGCACAAAAACTTTAAAAAAAAAAAAAAAATAAGGAAAAGTGAATCCTAGCAGACCACTCTTATTTGTTCTCTTCTTTGTGTTTAAAATGTCTTGGAGAAACAATACACAAAGCTTTTTTTAGTCTGGAATCACTTTCTTGACTGAATCAAACTCTATTCTTCTTCCAGATGTGCAGAGTAGGAGTTTAATTTTCAGGTACTGAATTTTCTGAAATTCAGGTACTGAATTACTTAACAAGAAATTTACTTTCCCCTCACCCTTCCAGTGAAAAACTGGATAGAGGTATCTTATTTTAAAACTTTTTTCCCCTCTTTATTCTTAAAAAAAAACCTATCTCCCTTTCGAAACCCCAGAACTAACATCTGAGGTCAACAGAAAGATTAGAACTACTCAGTGGTAGTTCCAATGCTGTTTAAGGACCCTTACTCACTGAGAATCATTTCTGTGTTGTATTTAATATTCAGATGCACTTAAAACATTGAGGTGCTGTAGTCTGAAAAGCAGTTAATAATGATGTTGTTATGTCATTCTTAGGAAGATGGGCATTTAATATCATGCTCAGAAAAAAAAAAAATGGGGGTGGGAGAGTTCTTTCCAAGGCATCCATTACTTTCATTTCAAAAGTAGAACCTTAATTACTTCCTCCAAATTATACTTCCTTCAACAAATGAAAAATCCAATGCAAACTTTTTCTTCTCTTTATGATTTAGCAGCCATGACTTTTTGTGTGATATTTTATGTAATTTTAAAATAAAGAAGCATTTCTTCTCTCAGAAGTTTGACCTTCTAAAGGGTAAGCTGTCTAACTCTACATCTAGCAAAAGTTTTGAGCGTGTCTATGCTAGCACTTATGTTAGATGAGGAGTATACTTCTAAAGTGAATTTTCTGGTTTTCCCCACCTCTCACGACTTGGCTCACACTGTGGAATAGTATCAGCTCAAAAAATGGGTTATTTTCAAATTAAATTAAGCTGGAAGGTATGCTTCAGGTTGTGCTCCAAGTGCTAACAGGCATACATCCCACAGAACAAGATACAGTCCAATCCAACGGCAACCACAATAGAGTATAATGCAAATGCCAGGTCCTCAGCAGCAGCTCTCCCAATCCCATTCCTAACAAGGAAGCAGCACTTGCCAGCGCAGGCACAGGCAGTGAGTAGCTCTGTACAGCCATGATGGCCATCGAGCTGTCAGCAGCTTTTCTCAGGACAAATGGAAATGCATTTTTCCTTCTGCAGTATCAAAGCTGCCAGGATCTCTGCATGACAGAGTAGCCCAGGACTGCATTGACTTGTTAGAGCATTTGCTGAGAACTCTCAGGTGAAGATGTGCTTTACCCCTGCACCCAGTACCAGAGAGGGCCGATTTCAGCTACAGGTAAAGGAAGGGCAATATATTTGTGATATGGATTTAGGATGAGCAAATCTATCTAGCATTTTAATACCGATGTGTATATATAACCTGATGAGACTGATTCTTACATCCTTCCACTTTATAAAACGTACATTCTCCAAAGCACTGAGGTGGAGGTGAATCAGATCCATCTTTGGTTGGTATTCTGTGAATTCAGAATTCCTACCTTTTGGTGACACCATAAATTTCTTCTATGATAACCTGAAGAACAGCTCGATAAAACAATGATTCTGTAGGCAGCTGCAAAATATTTTACAATAACAAGGATTTAAAATCGGCATTGAAATTAAGATCAGAGTAACAAAATGAGTATTGGCTTCATTAACTATTTATTGAGTTGTATACTTTATGATCAGTCACATCAGATCTAAGAGGACAATTTATTAATATTCTTGCTTACAGTTAAGATTGGTTTTGAGTCAGATTGTAGCAACCATAAATGAAAGGGGGAAAAAAAAACAAACCCAGATTCTAAAGATCAAAGGTTGATGAGGTTGATGGAGGGAAAAAGAACAGAGGTAAACAAACTGTCCATGATCCGAATTCTAATATGAAAAATAAATAACGATTATCTAAGTTGTTTTGAAGACAAAAGGAGTAATTCAGTAATTCTAACTGAATCATCTGTGTTCACACTGTAGTCTCAATCATGCTAAAAATCCACATACTGAAGATTTAATTTATTTGTCTGTGGAAAATCTGTTTGCATAGAAAGAGTTAATGATTGCCAATTAAAAATACACAGAAAAAGACTGGTGGGGTCGGTGGGCTTACTGAATATGGAAAGATGTCTCTCAGCCTTGCCTTTTAAATACTTGCACAGTTGGTGCCCAACATGCTTTAAGGACAACTTGCAAAACAGTAATTCAAAATATTAATGGGGAAAAAATATACAGGGATTAAAAATTAGAATGATGATGTTTTTAACAGGTTCATTCAAGCTTTTGTCATAACAAAGTCTATTTTTACATTAGTTGATAAAACACTGGGATAGAGTGATCCAAACCAGGCGTATCAGAAGGACATTTGCACTGAATTTATGTATTAACTGAAAGATAGCAAAAGAAGTTAGGAAGGGTCATTTAATCCCTTAAATTTTAAGTTGTGCTTTTTTTCCCTCAGACTCTTAAATGTCAAAAGAAAACAGATTCACTAAGTACAACCACAGCAATGAAAATGTGATTTCATGATGACACATGCTATCTATCGGGATTTGACATAGGGTAGGCCAGTATTTCAGATTCCAGATATGCAGAAGTTCAATAAAAGGCCATGGATTAAGAACATTCAAAGGGGAAAAACACATTTTATCTTAGAATGGCTAAAATAAACAATATTACTTACCATTTGGCCAACTGCAACTCGCTCCAAAGCCTTTAAGAGTCCAGGAATTAAATTGCTGATATATTTATTCTTTATCATAGCATTTTATAAACACATTGTATAAAAGTCAGAGGAGATGACATTTTAAAAGATTAATGGTGTGACATAACATGAGCTTACACACTTTAAAGCGTTAATACCTTTAGGCACTCATAAGCAGCTACTCCTGTTATTTTGGTTTATTTATAGGAGAAGAAATGACATCCAACTGAGTGGAAATAGATACAAGGAAAATTTGCTTGTTTTTACTTGTCTTGTAGAAGACTGTCAGAGGATTACTTTCTGTGAAAGTGCTAAAGACAAACGCATTTTTCTTGAATCTGTTCCTACTGGAATAGAAATAATTCACTTTGCATATTTAACTGTTAAAAGTAAATACTAGTTCAGTCTACAATATCAGCTTTATCCCTAGTACACACATAAATTGAACCTTTGATGCAGAGTGCAATAAAATAACATCAAAGACACTGCAGTTTAAAATACTATGTATTATTTTTTCACTAGATTCTTCATATTATAAATGCTGATTTAGGTGTGAGACTACTTGACACTTGTGATCCCCAGTGACAAAGACTGACAAACAATTTGAAGCATGGAATATTCTTTCAGAGTTGAAAAGATAGAGTGCCTATGAAAATTTCAACAGAGCTTTAAAGATCATAGTAGAAAATCTGATTATCTGATTATCTCATACTACATTAAATTAGACAGCCAACAAAAAATACCTTGCCACTTATGGGCCATTGTCACCTTTAGTCATCAAACTTGACAACAGTAAGACTGCTTGTTACACAAACACCCACTCCTTCTTCTGGTTATAGAACTAATCTTGTATTTCAGACTGTTCGTCAAACACAGTCCACAGTAGTTGCACTTCATCCATTCATGGCTTTGGTCAGCCATCAGGTTTGCCTTTTGCTGCGTAAGCTCTCCAAGCAGCATCTATCTGCTGCTGCCTAGGAGATGGACATGGGTTCTAACAAGTATTGTAAGGGTCTGAAACTGGAACTCTTGCTCAACACCTTTGACCCTTGACACTTCAACAAATTTGAATTCTGAGTACCATTGTTCAGCAGACTTTCTGCTAACCAGCCATTAGCCCTAGAAATGTGGGTGYTTAGTGGCTCTGTGGTTATTTCCTTGTACCTCCTACACAGCAAGGAAAATCCTAGTCATGAAAATCACATACAGAATTACTAACATAACAGTGGAAGTATCTAGTTATATAGGAGAACTCTTTGCCTTTTGTGAATATTCAAACAAAAAATGTTTCTAATTGCCAAATTCCTGTGATTTCTGAGAAATCTAAAATAAATATATATGGCATGATGAGTATTCTCTTAGGGGCCATTTGCTTACAAAATTTATCTTCCTACCATTGTTGAAAAACACTACAACCCTTTTCTTTCCAGAAGAAATGGAATAGGAGAGGAAACAGCTAATATGTCAGCTGAAGAAGCAGTGGTATTATATAACACTAACAAGAAAAAGAGAAAAGGCAAATCCCTTTAGAAAGCATTTCTCTTGCACTAAGTTTTACAGCTCCATCTCTAAAATGAACAATTCTTTTCCTTTACCTTGCCAAGGGTAACACATTTAAGCCTTGTGAATACTAAACAACTGTCCTATATTTTCTCCTGATAGCATTTAATTATCATGGGTAGTTCAAGTTTACATAACCTCAGTACGTTAGTCTACACTGAGTCTTTATTCTACACTTTTCTCTATGGGGGCAGTGCAGAGCTAGCAGAGCCTAGCCAGAACCGACTGCAATTCATCTAGATACCATAAATTAAAAATTAATAGTTATCTTCTAACTGAAAACAGTGGTCAAAATTTTCAGTACCTACCTGTTTTTTCAAATTAGATAACAGCTCATCATCCTGTCTTGATGAGGCTAAGTCTTTAAAAGTACTTCATCTCTTGGTGCAATGTTAAAAGGATATTTCCAGACTCTTAAGCCACAGGATTTTAGAGCTCCTCTAGTTTTTGGAACTAGGCAGGTTTATTCAGGTTTTGAACAGCCAGAAAATTCAATATTATGAATCATGAAGGCATTGGGGGAGTTACTGATTGCAACCCTTCTAGAATTTCCTTGCTTCCTTCTAAGTCCTTGGCCAAGAACTATTACTCCAAGGGGTTACCTTGTTTAGGTTTCAGCAAAGTTTTGGCCTTTCTGTCCACTCCTAAAATACATTTCTGTCAATACTAATTTTTTCATGCCTTCAGCAAGTATAAAATATATAAAGCTGGAAGGTCAATACTATTTCTTTTAGATATAATTCATCATGCTTATAACATTAATGATGTTATTCTGTAGGTTCTTGCATTAAAGTCATGGCTTCAAGATTAGAAGCCAAAAACAATAAATCCTACAACATCAGGACAAAGCTCTCAGAAGGAAAAAGAAAGGAAGAGGAATCATACCAAGCATGCTGACATCCTAGCATTGCGACCACAACACCAGCCTTTGTCCTTCAAGTACTGACACATGGGAAACCCCCACACTTGGTCATGGCATTCTGCAACATGGAGGGGAAAAAAAAGGCACAGTTTTTCCTCTGACTTACAGAATACATGATGGATTGAGCAGGATGAACAATAGGTAACAGAGAAGAAATACTTAACTGTTCTCATCTGGTACCAAAACTTGTGCTGATGCTACAAAAAACATATATTCCCTATAACAGATGTTTTTGGTTTATTCTAAATTTCTCATAATTTCACATTTTCCAAAACAACTTTAGTGTCCTTTACATAAATCCACTGAAAAAATAGTCAAATGGACAAGAGAAAAGTTTGTGAATACTCATGGCAACCTATGCCATGCCACAAATCACAAGATGTAGACCAGGCACTTGCTCCATGCAGGAGAACTTCAGTACCACCTTTCATTGTCTTCTTATTCTCTCAAAACCATCTTTCAAACATCACACAGACCAATGCGTATTTGTTTATTCCGGTTCTGAAAGACCATTTAGCTGTGAGGCAGAATGTTTGTTTTCCAGAAAAGAGCAGCTGCAAAGGCTCTTGCTGTTTTTCAAAACACCAAGAAGCATTTGCATCACAATCTGTGCTCAGTTTATTTCAGTACCATTTATATTTTGAATAACAACACAATTCTTCATGTTTAATGCTAATGCAAATGTGGGAGAACTGAAGTACAGAGATTACTTTGTAGATGTTCTTAATATTCAATTCTAAATGTACACAGACTCTAAATGTTTAGACTTTTCATTAGCACATTTGTCAGCTGATTTTTTAGAATGGTGAATAAGAATTATTACTTGCTTAAAAAAAGCCCCACAAATCGGCTGAGATCCTGGCTTTTTAGCACAGGAAGGTAACTGGAGCGTATTTCAGAATAAATCATGTAATGGGGTTAAAAAGAGGGGACAGCAGAAAATTTACCAGCAGTCTGAGATACATACATCTCAGTAGAATCCATCTCAAAAAGTTAAGCAAACAAAAAGAAAAAAACTATAAAGAACCCTCCCCACTGCCCATGACCTTTCCAAGCAGCATCTATCTGCTGCTGCCTAGGAGATGGACATGGGTTCTAACATGTATTGTAAGGGTCTGAAACTGGAACTCCTCCTGAACCTTTGACCCTTGGCACTTCAACAAATTTGAATTCTGAGTGCCATTGTTCAGCAGACTTTCTGCTAACCAGCCATTAGCCCTAGAAATGTGGGTGTTTAGTGGCTCTGTGGTCGTTTCCTTGTACCTCCTACACGGCAAGGAAAATCCTAGTCATGAAAATCACATACAGAATTACTAACGTAACAGTGGAAGTATCTAGTTACATAGGAGAACTCTTTGCCTTTTGTGAATATTCAAACAAAAAATGTTTCTAATTGGCAAATTCCTGTGATTTCTGAGAAATCTAAAATAGATGAAAGCTTTTGGCTTTCTGACAGTAGTGCCCAGTCACAGCTGATCACTAAAGAATAACAGCAAGCAGGCAAGAATCTTCTGCAGGCAACCTCAAACTTTGCTCTCCTTTTAGCCCTGAGGAATGCCAGAGGCTCTTAGGGGCTGAATATCAGTTTGAGGACCATGATTTAAGAACAGGATTATAATTATGGATTATTAGCACAAGAAGAAAGAAAACTCTTTAGAAATAAAGATGAAATTTGACAAAACAGATTGCAGTTGGTTTCAGCTCTAGCAATGTACTAAGAATTTGTAAGTATCTCATGACAAGCTCTAAAATAGTAATTAACTTCAACTCTAATTATGGAGTACATGGAATACATGGGTATTTTTATCAAAAAATAATGACTGACATGGTTCCTATTGTATGATTCTCACTAGTACGTCTTTCCAATACATATGTTAAAATATTTCAAAATAAAAATTTGCAAACTGAGTTAGAAAGATGAAATCCCTGATCTTTTCAAGCAAATCCCTTCTAATTTATACCCTGTCCTCTAGGCAAACTAATCATTCATTCAAGTTAAAGTTACTACCCTGTCAGCTACAATCTCAATATCAGTGCACTGTACTCATGCATAATTCTGAGGAATTTATGACAGCTTTGAAAAAGATTATCAGGCAAAGCACTATATTCATTTAAATTATTTAAACTGTAAAGTAGGTGAAAAAGAGAGGGAAAATAATGCTTTAAATTAGAAAGAACTTCTTTGTTCATATCAAAAGTTGACCACACATCTATAATATTGCTTTAAGTTCTATTTATTTTTTGACATCCATTACACTCTCAAGCACACTTACAAAAATTTTAGAATTAATATATTGCAATGAAGTTCTTACATTATTAAGCTACATTTAAAAAACCCTAAAAATTCCTTTAATGCCTGCAACTATTTTCAGATATACTTAATATATAACTGTATTTAGTGCTATTATATAACTCACTGAATACCTTATTATGCTTCTAGGTAACAACACAAAGGTGTTCTAAACTGCATAAATCTCAAAATATGTTCAAGAAACATTTTAAGTACAGGTATTCAATGGGACATTTCACAGCAAACAGCTCAAGTATTTAGCAGCACATGAAGCAATGACGTTACATCAGACAGAATTCCTTCTATGAACAGTTAACAAAATGCGCAATTTTAGGTAATCATTGGATGAGCTGAACTGAAGCTATACTGGAGTTTAATATCAAAAGGTATTAATTAGGTAGCAAGAACTTTACCTCTGAGCTAACTTCTAAAACGACTGAATCACATTTAATAAAATGCTGCAAATACTGCAACTAAACATGAGCTATTTTTTTTCTGCTGTGGTATTCATAAAAAAAAATATATGGCAGTACAAGTAAGATAAATGTAAAGTCCTACTTGGTTTCTTGTACATATCGTAAACTTCATCAAGGTAGCACTAAACCACAAATAACCTTTTCCAGGTACTCCATAGCTTCTTCCTTCCACAACATTGTAGTGTTTCAGTCTACTTCTGTTATTCCAAACCAAATAGCTAAACTACTTAACTGCCTTTATCCTTCATGAGGAAGACTAAATCTTCCTTGGCCATATAATTCTCTGTTCCTTGAATCTGTATTTTTCAAAAAAAGTCCCCGGACTAAGCAGGATTTTGCTGGGGGAAGCAGGGGTCAGTGGGGAAGAAAAATGTTCTCTAATTCCAGGAAATACAATCAGTTGTCACCAACACAATTTTCAAAACCCAACTTCGAGTATGCTTTAGTTACTGTGCATTAAAACTTTGGCATTCTCAAGTCTAATCTTGTAGTTGGTATACACTGAAAAAAATACAAACGTAAAATGGTTTCAGGTTTTAACATATTCTTGCAACATTTATTAATGAAAAATACCCTAATAACTTCTGTAGGTAATATTTTCATTTAAAATCTGTAAAACTTACCTAGTTAATATTTTTTCAAGTTTCATATTTTTTTAAGAATCAATTTTTACAGAAAACATCTGGGGTTTAGTGACTAGTTAGTTAGTTAACAAATAGTTAACTAGTTAACAAATTCATGGCAATGTTCCCTATGCAGCAATACCTAAAGATGCCTTGGGAAGGAAATTAGGCTTTTGATCTGCTGCTTGGAAGTGTTTTCTTGTGTTGCCATGGTATCAGTGGTAGCTATTTTAAGACATTGGCTATGGAGTATCTTTGAAAATATACCTAGGCAACACATAAATCATCTGTACTCTAATACCCTGAAACAACGAGTAAGCTTTCATATTTCAGTGGAATGGAGTGATATGAAGCCATTATGTTTGTGTAAGGAGTCCTTTAGAAAATTCAGTTTAAAAGCTTTTGTTGTCTGAATCCACTTTACTAAAGGCTTTTCCAGGTTTCACAAATCTCATAGAATTCTGCATGTGAATTTTGACTATCCTTTGCAGCCCTTTCGTTTCCCTTAATTATGTTCAACAGCTTTTAATAGTTACAGTTTATTCTGCAAAAGCTTTGCTAACTTTTTCCAGAATGCATTATTGAGAGGCTACTTTCCACAGTTTCCTGGGGGGCTCTAAAACTCCTCTGCCCAGCAGTGACCTGACTTTGGAAGCCCTTACAAAATCTGGAGTTTACGATTTGTAGTAGTTAAGCCAACCTCAAAATGAGCTTCTATCAGATAGCTATCACTGAAACTATCTATACAACTACAGCTGTGTCTTTCACATTACAAAATCACAGAACATGCTGAGTTGGAAGGGACCCAAAAGATCTTCAAGATTACCTGTTAGCCCTGCACAGCACCTTCCCCAAGAGTCACACCATGTGCCTGAGAGCATTGTCCAAACACTTCTTGAAATCTGTCAGGCTTGGTGCTGACAGATTCCCTGGGGAGCTGTTCCAGTGCCCAGCCACTCTCCAGGTGAGGAATGTTCTCCTGACATTCAAACTAAACCTCTCCTGACACAATGTCAGGCCATTCCCTTCGGTCCTGTCACTGGGCTTCACAGAGATCAGTGCCTGCCCTTCCTCTTCCCGTCACAAGGAAGTTGTAACTGCAATGAGGTCTCCCCTCAGTCTCTCCTTCTCCAGGCTGTGCAGACCAAGTGACCTCAGCCACTCCTCATATGGCCTCCCCTCAAGGCCCTTCAGCATCTTCATTGCCCTTATTCTTCAAATACTTACAAATAATAACTATTCAGATCCTGATATAGCCCATCATTTGTTACAATCTAATCTTGCCCTGTGGTTATTCTCCTAATGCTTAATTTTTAATTTTTCTTTTTGATAATTGCATTGTATTGGACAATGAATTGTTTTATCTCTTCTCTTTGTCGTCTCTCTTTTTTTTCTGGCTTTTCTCCTACTAACCATTAGGTATGCATCACCCACATGGACAAAACGAACTGAGGAAAGTCCCCGGAGGACAGTGTTTAAGCCATGGGGTCATGTAAGGATTAAGGGAGCACAGCTACCTGTCTAAAACACTGTCAAGATCACAGAAGGAACATGCTATAAAATAAGCTACCACAGTGGAAACTTGGGCTAAGCACAGAAGGGAGGAATTTCTGATAGGAAAGCACTAATTCCAGGACTGGTGGAGGCAAGATATGGTTACCACATCCTGGTTAATGCATCCAAACAAAAGCAACTGCTCATACACATATCACCCCAAGTTATGGGGCAGATGGCATCTGCAACCTTTGATGACCACCAAAGTGACCTATACTCATTTCTGGAGCCTTCCACTGGAGGACTGCACATGATCCACAGTGTTAAAACTTCCCCCCAGCAGGGGAGGTACCTGGGCATTCCCACTTGAACCTGAGCGGACATCAGAAGTGCAACTATCAAGTCTCATCCCTGGATCCACAGGTGGTGATATTTTTCCTCTCTGGTAGCTACTCTAATCCTTTCTTTCCCTTCCTTATATATTTTCATACTTTTATATTGTCATATTACTATAAAAAGTAACAAAAATGGCTACATACCTCCTTTCCATTGCAACCAAATTGTTCTAAAATATACATACCTACATACATCTATACATATATATACACACACCTGTCATTGGTTTCACTCCAATCCACCCCATGGGATATATTAAAAAGAACCTCAGTTACCCAGTATCTGTGGTGACTTAACAGTAGCTCCAGAGCAATAGCAACATTCATGTGTTTTTTCCTTAAAACAGAGGATATAATGTTGAAGAGTTTCACTGGTTTCTAGACTGGTATTGATGTATTTGGTGGTATGAAGGATTGAAAGAAGAGAATCAGAATACAGAAACCCAAATACCTTTTCAAGGAAAGTATTTTTAAAAGACCCTAAATTTGCAGTCCTGTCTGTTAAGAGATAATCATAGTCCAGCTGGTACTTTGCCCCAAAAATATATTAGCTGAATGTAAGATAAAACAGCTCCCAAAAATCATAAGAATATCTCCTGAACAGAGGCACAGAGCTTGTTTTAACCTAAAAATCATTAGCAAACTGATTTTTTTTACAGAAAAACTGACATAATGTATCACTATGTAAATAGATAATCTATCACGATGTAAATAGGTTTATGTAAAGTGTCTCTAATAAATAGTAAAATCCTTTCTACTCTGATGTAATTGACCAGCCAATGCAGTAACAGGGAAGAAAACTCTCAAAGGAATCAATTATATGAATGGGTATGTATATTTTATCCATACAAAAATCTCTGTATAAACAGACAATTCTCCTTAGAGAGAGCCTAAGTAAAACTACTCAGAATTTTCCAAGAACTGTCATATTATTCCTTATTAACTGAAACTTAGAATATCGTACTGCTTACAACAGCAGTGAAATTTAAAGACAGGTGTTAAAAGACATTGGCTTCAACGTTTTAAAACTGGGGTGAAATTTGACATTACACAGCACCTCTTGGTTGTTTTAGCTACTAATAAATCAAAGCAAAGGTTTTCATGATTTTAACAGTTCAAAATTATCCACAGCATAATTGGAAATGTGGTCCCATTACAAAAATTTCCAGATGAATTCAGCTTATTTATAGACACATAGAAGGACACTGTATTTTGATAGCATTATTATTGAAGATTGTAACTGCTGGCACCTACTTTCAGCAGAAATGCTTCCAAAGTATTCACAGCAGGTCCAATGGCAAACTGAATCATGCAATCTTGCAATATCTGTACTATTTTTAGAGCACATGAGAAATGTAATACATTATTCCCTGAAGTCATTTCAGAAAGAAAAAAAATCCCCCAAACTTGCGATGACCAAGGTAATTCAGTAGCCCAACAAAAGTACCATAGTAACATTTGTTGATATTTTGTCAACTCAACAGCTCAGACTTATAAACACTATGTTAGGCATCATAACAGGTAAATTTTATTCATATGAATATCAGTTAATTCCAGTTAATATAAAGTGAAAATTTTTCACTGGCCTCAAACAAGACTTGGTATTAAATTGGTCCTGGTATTAAATCTTAAGTGTCAAAGAACATATTGCCCAGCCATACCAACTTATGGCAACCAGAAGTCCACTGCAGCTCCCTGCTCATCTGCTTCAACTATGCTTATGAGAACAACCCCATAAGTTCACACTAAAGAAATAGCAAAGATGGAAAACGTGTCACTTTGGGGGCAACAGCTCTGATGTGGACTTGCCGCAACCTTAAGGGTGTGCACCTCAAGAAAATAAAAAAAAACTTTTAAGAGGACAAATGAAATTTTTAGAATAGATTTTTTAAAACTTTGAGGCTACTAAGTCAAGATAAAATAACTATAGAATGCTTTTATAACAGAACTTCCCACTGTGTCCTCACAGGCAAACTCTTGCTTACTGGACTGATTTCAAATGCACAAATCATTTCCTGTGTTGCAGCAAATTCTGCCCAATTCTCTTTGCTTCTTAGGAAGATCCATTCATCACTGCAGAGATGCAGCTCTAATATTCAAACTAGTCTCTCCACATAAAGTTTCTACATATCTCTGCAGTCTCTGACTGATGCTTGGATTAGCTAGTAGCTTTTCTGAATGGGCAGGCGAGGTATTACCTATAGTAGAGATTACATTGGCTCCAGTACCATACAAGCCAACTGGAAATACACAACTGCATGTGGCGAGATAGGATGCATTTCAGGATGAAGTGTCACATGAAGGCCATACTCTCATCTTTGACAAGGCCATGTCAATCAAGGGAAATTCCTGATTACTGGAAACAGGCAACCACTACACCCCTCTTCCATCTACATAAACTCAGTTAGTCTCAACAAGTTTATGGAGCAAATTTTCCGGGAAACTATGCCCAGGCCCATGAGAAACATGGCGGTTGAGAATAGCTGGCAGGAATTCATCAGGCACTAACAAACTATTGCCTTCTGTGATGCAGTGACTGGCTCCTTGAACCAGGGGACGGCACAGTCATAGTTTACCTCAATTTTAAGAAGTCTTTAAGCAAGGTTTCCTTAGTATCTATAGACAAAATGGAAGATATGACTCACACAGGTGGACTCTAAAAAAGGTAGAAATTTGAAAATAATCTGAAGTTTGACAGTGAAGCCTGCAGATTAAGGGATGTGATTATTCCCCCTTTCAACACTTGTGAAAGTATCTGAAGTGCTTATCTGGGCTTTTCAGCCCACTGTACTGACTGAAAAGAATTTATTGGTGGCAAGAGGGCTAAAGCGCTGTAGAAAAGGTCAAGAGGAGATCTAACTGCTGTTTTCAACTACCTAAAGAAAAGGGAACAAAAAAGATTAAGGTGGACTGGTTTTGGCAGGGCAAAATGAAAAAGACAATAGATAATGCACAATAGCTGCAAATTCTGAATAGATATGAGGAAAAGAACTCCATGGTGAGGGCAAACACTGAATTGGGCTGCTGAATCACTGCCCTTGGAGGTATCCAAAACATGAATTGACAAGGCCCTGAACAACATGATCTAAGTTGGCCCTGCCTTGTGCCGTGAACTGGTCCAGATGACCTCCAGAAGATATTTGTTAGTTAAATGCTATGATTTGGTCCATTTTGGAAGCAGTATTAAAATTCACTGGCTTCCGACAGCTGCAAGAGGAATTAGTTTACTGCTTGTGCAAGTGAATTGTTGGATCAATACCATATGATTAGTTACAGAGTCCTCTAGCATCCTCTAGAATGCTTTGTCAGTTTGAAATCCATGCACAGGAAGTACAGACACAAGATACAATCGTAATTCGTTTGTATTTTCCCTCTGAACAAATCTTAGCTCTTAGACACTGTCAGTCCTGGGTCCCACCTGCCTTTATGTCTGTGAAGTTCCCAGAAAGAGCTGAAGCAAACCTTGTAAGCCATCCCTTTCTCAGATTTGATTGATATGATGATCAGGTTATAGGGCTTCGGCAGCTGATCATTTAAACAATTCAGCTATTTACCATTTGCCTCAGGAAAGTCAGCTACATAAAATGTTTTTCAGTATGCAGAACTTCAACTAAAAATGCCAGCTTTCTCTCAAAAATTAAACCCTCCCAGATTTGTAGGAAAAACTGCCTGTATTCTGAATCCCCAAATAATTTTCAGATTATCTCCTCAAGAAAAGCTGTTATATATGTACTGTTTCCTCCATGATGGTCTAAACAGGCAATGCCCAGCACAGAACTCAGATGAGTGCTTTTTTGAATATTATCTTACATAACAAAAACTTCATTCTGCTCATTTTTTATATTTATGATTCAACATAATTGGATATTGCACATAGACAGCTAAGGACAAAATCTGGTAGAAAGTATTTCAAAAGGATGGAAACATACTGGACTAAAAGAGCCTATACATTTATAAGTGAATCAATCAAATAAAACCAGCTGTGTTCATAACCACATAAAACCATTATTCATTCATGTCTCTAATCTCAGTAAGAATATTAGGAATACTGGCATAAAAGAAAAGCAAAAAGCCATCTGGGAGTGCACAACCCACATAATGTAATTCAAATCAGTACAAAATAATCCACTGGGAAGAAACAAACACAAGGACATTATTAATTAAAAGATATAATACTCTCAACATGCAAACTAGCAGCCAGGAGTTAAGCACAGAAGAATTACCTTCTTGGTTTTCAAACTGTTCTGACAACAGATGGTAGCAGCAGCCCACACTGCAAATGGCTTTGATTTCAGGCTTGGCAGCAAAAATTCGTAGTGTATTTGCAGCAAGATCTCCACATGTATGCAGACCCACCAACATACAGTCCTAAGAAGAAAAAAATTGGCAACGACAAATCATTTTCATCAACTCAAATGCATGAATAACAAACTCCAAAACCCAAACAAGCTGCAAACAGTGAGCTGTGAGTTAGAAATATCCAACTCCAAGAGCACTCCAGCTGGTCTGTTCTACAATTTTTCAATATTAATCTAAGGTCTTCATTGCTAAGAAAATATGGTAAAAACCAGCCATGAAGCAGCAAAAGTTCAAGACAAAGACCAACAGCTGCATGGAAGAGAACATCTACAGGTTTACCAGACATAGGGCATTTTCTTTGGTCTTTCCTAGGTTTCCTGTTCTTCTTACTAGGACCATTGCTACTCCCTTTCCTTACAAAAGATTTCTTCCTGTAAATCTGGCTGGACCTATCCATGGCATTTCTGCTAGTTTAAGTTCCTGAAATCAAAATGACTTCCGAAATACAGGTGTAAGGTGAAGAGCAGGCTTTGTTATTTCCCAAATGGCAATACTCACAGTTTTGCAGTGAGTATTCAACAACAAATGAGCATTTTCTTTCACAAAGTATGCACAAAGTAAGAACTTCAGCTTCAAGATGCTCTGTTCTCCTGTCCATTCTATTTCCTACTTTCCTTTTTTTCTTCAACTTCCCTTTTCCTTCCATTTCTCCATGAAAATTCTCTCTCTTCTTACCATCCATAACAAGATATTTCCCTTTTGGCATTATTAGTTGGAATCCACATGACAAAAATGGTGTTGCTTTGAATTCCAGGCATATTTATTAATCATAGAATCAGAAAGTCATGGAATCATTTGGGTGAGAAAGGACCTTAAAAATGATCTAGTGCCAACCCCCCCACACCCAATTAGACCACCTTGCTCAAAGCCCCATCCAACCTGGCCTTGAACATTTCCAGGGACGGGGCATCCAAAACTTCTTTGGGCATTCGTTCCAGTGTCTCACAGTAAAATACTGTGTCCAACCTCACAGTAAAGAATTTCTTTTTAATATCTACCTAATCTAAATCCACCCTCCTTTATCTTCACCCCCTGGTCCTATCACTACAGTCCCTTTCAAAAATTCTCTCTCCAGCATCCTTGTAAGGTCCCATTCAGGTACTGGAAGGTGCTATAAGGTCTCCCCAGAGCCTTCTTCTCCAGGTTATCCACAAGAAATTAGGCCAGGGTCACTCAACTGTGATAACTTTCTATAATAATTCGGATTTTATCTGATTTTCTCACCCATCTGTGCTACATAGTGCATTCATGTGCAAAACAGAAAACTTCCATTTTCCTCTTTCACCTTTTCTGACATTTTTTTATATCAAGAAAAGCAGTGATATAGGATTTCTTCCACCGTTAACACTGTACAAATTACACGCTAAGAGAATACAAAATCCAGCTGTGCAAATATAAAGGCATATGCTTCATCAAAAATACCTGCTGCTCAAGGTGTCTTTTGCAAACAGATATGAGCTCTATGCTGCACAAGCTCAGATACTCAACTACACTTATAGCTCAAGTTGTAGGGTCATCAGCACAAACTTACGGTCTTGAATAAGTCATTACTTATACCCTGGAATAAAATAGTTTGGTTACTACTGAACACAGAGAGGTTTTTATCATTCCATAAAAGACTGAACGCATCTCCTCAAGCAATGTATGTAAGTTCAGGCATAAAAACTAAACATACAACCACTTTTGTCACCGTCTTTGGGCAGCTGAACTTGGGCTTGTTTGTGCAGACACAAACCCTGATAGCTAGGAAAATACTAAATGAGCTTAAAGTAATTCTTTACAAACTCTTCATCTTGGGTACTATACACAATAAATTCTCCTTCCCAGTATGACTGAAATTACCAAAACACATTAATTAAAAAATAAGAACTTTCAGGAAAATTGAAGCTCCACTGCTTAATACATGCCTCTACCTATTAAATAATAATAATAAATCCATAATAATTAGATTTTGTCTATAATGACAGTTGTAAAATAACTGAATGTGATAATATGGATGCTGTTAACTTTGACAGCTGATTATTACCTACCTCATAAATTCTAAAGACCGATTCAAAATCATCCCAACGTATATCAAAATAGAAAAACAATCCTTATCTGGTACACATACTTCTGCTACCTGGGTAAAAACCATTAATGGGCTAGAATATTCATTTACACCAGAGATAGCACTCTATGTACACTCAGCAAACATGTACACATGCAAATGACAATATAAAGAATGGATAATACAAAACCAGTAAATATTTAGAGTAAAATGACCTCCAGATCTGTTATGATGTCACTGAGTTCTGTTTCTGCAGTGATGCAAGAGGTCAGTGGAAAATACAGACTCGATTCACTTGACTTTCTTGCTTTACTCTTGAGAGATGTCATTTTTCTTTGTACTTTTTCCTTTTCACAGAGTTCCCCACAGTTATAATGAGGTGAAGAAAAATCTTCTACAGCATCAGCAGGAAGAACACTTAGAGTATCAGGGACCTCTTCAGAAAGTTTGGTTTCATGAGACTGTGTCCTAGTCACCAAATCAGCTTCAGTTTCTGCACTGGTTTCAGGTGTAGTCAATTCCATGAAACCAGAAGAAGGAACTAAATCTTGGATAATCACTTGGTCCTGATTTTGAAGACTTTTCACATTATTTAAGAGCTCTTCATTGATTGTTTTACATGTAATTTCACTTTCCACTGGTCTGTCATTTGCCTTTTCCAAACTCTGACATTTGAGGTTTTCTCTTCCTCGACTCTGATATGCTCGCCAGTGTTTCTTCAATTTTCTGTTTCTTTCATGAGCACCATTTGTGTTGGAACTTGACGAGTCAATGCCATAAACCTTTAAGTTATATTGCATGGACAAAAATGAACTCAAGTAGCCTTTTCCAGAACCTATATCAATCACCTAGGTAATGAAGAAAAAAAAAAAAGGAAAAGAAAGTTTGCTGTATTGAGCAACAACACACACTTCAAATGTAAAATTATTCCCCCAAAAACTTAAGCATGGATTGAATAGCTACCTTATCAGTATCATTCTTCTCAATGCACTTAGTTCTTTTGCTCTGTTGCTTCACCTGACTTCAAGACACAGATTTAAGTCTTAACCGATGTACTCCAGAAAACAGACACTGCAATGTTTATGTAATGCGCATGCCCTGCCTCTTCTTATAAAGATTTTCAGTATATTTTTTGACACAGACCTTTCTTCTGCTAAAGAAAATAACCATAAACCACCAGCAACTACAACTGCCATTGTTAAACTGGGTCAAAATTAGGAAATAAACAGCTCACAGTATTCAGCTTTAGCCACCTAATTCCAACAGTGAGGAGCCTACTACCCGTGGGTGTACAGCAAAAAAGCATCTTCAGTTTTAGTGCCTAATTTAATCCCTTCAGATGTGACCTTAAGATGGGTGATACTGATACTCTTTTTTTTTTTCTGTGAAAACAATCCATACAGCTTTGTTTAACACGAGGATGCTTTTCTAATAAAACAAAGCAGCTCAAAAGCCACATATACTTTCTATTCTCTGTTTTGGAAGAAGGAGTGATAGGTGACAGTTTAGTTTGTCTCATAGGTGATACCATGTGTTAATTCAGTGACTGATGTAACCCAGGAAGGAAAATCCCATACGAAGTATTAGCAGAAACAAGAGTAACCTGAGACCTTTCAGTACATAACCACAGATTTATAAAATGTATGTTTTAATATGTAATAAATACATAATGTAGTATTTTGTTAGAATTGGCAGTGATAGTTCTCTAAGAAAAGAAAATTATAATGTTCACTTCTGTCCAAGTATCTACCAAAACTAATATCGACCAGATATAATGACTTCTTTGTACAAGCTCCTGAAAGTCTTTGATTCAAGAACATCTGTGTTTGGTTCTTGGTCTGTCACACATTCATAAGAAAGCTTACACTGATAATGCTAAGTCCAAACAGCAGTATATACTACATTGATCCATAAGAATATTCAATACTGTGCCATTCTTGTAATTCTCAATGAGAAAGTATTCTGCAATATTCAGTGAGAAAGAAATATTTATTCCTTATTCTAATAAAAAAGATATGGACAGCCATGGAATTAGAAAGAAAAATTTGAGCCAATGTCACTAAAGACTGTGCAAAACAGTGTAGAGTACATAATATTACATAAAAATTGTTTACTCAGGTAGCATATGGCTTTCTCATCTGTAGTCATCGTGTAATATTGATGCATATTTGCAATCTAGACATGCTACAACCATAAATTTTTTTGAAATAAATTTGTACAGGAGTGAATTTAGTGAAAAGGAATTTACATAACCTAAGCATACCTTTGAAAATGTCATTTATTTGTCACATTTATCAGCAATATTCTCCTCTACTGAGCCCTAGTGAGGCCACAGTTGGAGTGCTATGCCCAGATTCTGTGTACCTCAGCACAGGAGAGACATGGAGTTCCTGAAGCAGGTCAAGCAGAGGGCAACAAAGATCAGGAAGGGACTGGAGCATCTCTCTTATGAGTAATGGCTGAGGGAGCTGGGCCTGCTCAGCCTCAAAAGGAGATGTCTGAGAGTGTAAGTATCTGGAGGAAGTCTGTCAGAGGTTGTTTCCATGCTCTTCTCGATGGTGCAAAGCAATAGGACAAGAGGCAGTGGGCAGAAACTGATGCACAGGAAGTTCCACCTGAATATGAGGAAGAACTTTATTGTGCAGGTGACTGTGGACTGGAACAGACTATCCAGAGAGGTTGTGTGTCTCCACTACTGGAGATATTAAAGAAGCAGATGGACACAATCCTGTGCCATGGGTTCTTGGGTGACCCTGCCTGAGCAAGAAGGTTGGACCAGATGATCCACTGTGGGTCCTTCCAACCTGACCCATTCTGTGTTTCTGTCATAGGAAAGGAAAGGAAAACATCGAAGGAATAATTTTACCCACTCTTTTATTTAACAGACAGTTATGTAGAATATGCACATCTCCACTTCAATTTCTTAAATTATTTCAGTAAAAAGCAGCATTTGGACACAAGAGAGAGATAGTGAATTATTCCTACGTGTGACCCCTAGTGGCTGTAGAGACCAGATGCATCTTGGGGAAAGTTTCTCAAGCAAAAAGAAAGCAGTAATAAATTGTTAAATTAGCTTTGGGAGAACAGTTTTAAAATTAAAGGAAAAATTGACTAAAAATATCAGGCAATGATCTTGTACTAAACAAATAAACTGCATTAAATTATTCCCTGCTTTACCTTTCCTTGAATACACAGGGAAAGGTAATCAGCAATCCATAGAATATCTGTCAAGCATGAGCTTTTAAAATGAAATTTCCATGATATAATAAACTCCAAAGGTGTTGTCCACAGTGAGTTGAGTCTCATGCACAGTAAAGCATTCCAACATTCCTCAGGACCAAATCACAAATGTAATGGATGCTGATGCTGAATGCAGAATTATATCATCTTTACATTACACACTGCAAGTCTTGCTGTACATTCTGCAATTTCCAAGGAAAACTTTGACCAATACTCTAAATAAAACAAATGTGCACTTAAGCAAAGAGGAATCAACACTGGCGTTTTTTCAGAGTTCAATCAAGAACTTCTTAAAAAAATCAAGTTCCACTAGTATGATAGGGGCTTAAAAGGGAGCAGTGCTTAAAAGGGGCAGTGCTTAAAAGAGGCAGCAAAAAACTGAAAAAAAAGCCCTTTAGTTATTTTGCTTAAATGTTCAAATTCAAAGCATTAATCTAGAAGTGATTATAGTGCTAATAAAGATTTTTTGCTTTTATTCTTACTTTACTCTTTATTATAGTACATTGTAAAATACCAGTAGAGAGCAATATACTCTACCACCCATTATACAATGTGAGTATGGAGGTGAAATGGAGGGCATTTTTCAAGTTGTCCATGACCTGTAATATCTGAAAGAAACACCCTGAGGATATGTGCTGCTGTAAAATGTGCTGTGTTTTCACGGCTCTAGATTTTTTAATTAAATGCCACATATATTTTGTATTGCAAGAAGGATGTAAAAAAATCAACAAGGAAAAATTCCTAAAACTTTATAATTGCTACATTTTTTAAGTCAAAAAAAAAAAACCCCAAAACCAAAAGGGCTTGCTCTTTAAAGAGTGAGAAGGAGCTTTCCTTTTCTTTTATTTTCCAAAGTAACAGGAAAGTTTTTTTCATGTATTAGGGATTTGTAACTTTGCACAAATAAATATTTTTATACTATATGACTAAAATGGAAAAAAGTTATAGAGCAGTTGGCATTTCATATTCAGCTATATACTGCAATAATATTTTTCATTTAATGTTATAATTTTTTAAATAGCAAACAGAAAATAATCCTATGTATAGATACTCCAAGCTATCTGATAAAAGCACATAATCACTCGATGAAGTTGCAGCATTTTGTCAGATACTTAATAATGATTGGTTTGAGATTTTATTAGTACCTAGCYACATTAAAACTTCAGTTAAGTTATTAAGATGGCTTTACATTTTTATTTTCTGAAGAGGGGTTTTGCTTTCCTTTCATTCCTGAATCTCACAGGAACTATTTAAATCTAAATGAAAATATTATATGAAACACCACTTTCCAGCAAATGCAGGGACCACTTACTATTGCATTATAAGAAAACTATGCTCTCTTACAGCTTTTTCAGTATGTGAAAGTCTTCAACACTTGAACAACTAACACTTGCCTGAAACTAAAGGTAAGCAAGGCAAAAAAAACATGCTCATGACAGAATAAAAGACTTTCACAAACATGTTGTTAGTGTATTTTTGTTCCCTACAGTGCACACCCACTTTAGGGCTCTGGAGGGCACCCACGCTTGTCACTGTGGCTGGCTCTTAAAGGGATGCTGGGGAGATCGCCTCCATCCCTGCAAGCGATAGCAGATGCTCACAAACTGATTACATCTCATCCAGTAGTATTTGGCCTTAATTAAAGCTCTCTATTTACCAGACAATCCCAGCTGTAACAACACAGCCTACAACTTTGCCTTCATCAACTGTTCCTCACAAAAACAGATGGTCAGGATTGAGAATTTTGATCTCTTTTCTTTACACAAACCTATCAAGAGTACTGCATCATTTATTTATTGAAATTAAACTCAGACTGAGCCAAATAACCTCCTAGCCAAAGTTCAGCTTCAGCAATTCAAGGCTGAATCCAAGTTTTGGAGCTTTCTCTACCTCGGTAGCAACAGCAACTTGGGATGATGCACATACATTAATTTCAAAATATACACATTTACTTACAAAACAGAATGCTCAGAGAAAATACGCTCATCATAAAATCTATGCAGTATAACCATTTTTAACCTTTGGTTTTAAACAAATATAGTTTATTCTCCACAAATCTCTGTGGGAATGAATAGTAGCCTGGAGGAAATAAGTCTCCATTTACAGTTACAGTCCCATCCACAGAAAGCAAATGCAGCTCAAAAGTAAAGGAATTAAATGTAGTGTTAAGGGTGACTATTCACCTTTAATTTAAAGAAGGAAGAAGCTACATTGGCAAGTTACCAGCAGTAGAGAGATTAAATGAATAAGCGAACTCTGCTCACCCAGAGTGAAAAGTTTAGCCTTACAACACCACAGTCTTAAGTTATGGAATCTAACAGAAAGTTCAACATTGAAAAAGCTTACAGAAAAAGTATATGCATGTAAACTGAGGAAATGGTATTGATGCATTTTGTCTAATAGAATGTGAAATACACTAAACAAAAAAAGTCAGGTATTGCCCATGTTTTGTCAACAGATCCATAAATAAATCTCTACAAGGTTTTAACAAAACGGGGGTCTAGTGCACTGTGCAATCATGATTACATGTGTATAAACAAAAAGGTTTAAGTTACTATCAAATTTGAGAGAGGAATACTGCAATTCTTCACCATCCAAGCAGAAACCTACCATCTGATATATGAAACTCATTCAGTAATTGCTGGGTGATAATGGTGTTAAGTGTCCAGGCCTCACACATGTTCCACCAAATGTATTTCATACACACTTACATAAATCTCTGCCTAATTTGTTCTCTCTTCAAACTAAAAATATAACTAACTAAATTACTAATTTATAGATCTCAATCCAAGTYAAATAAAGATAAATAGTATTAAAAAATAAGAAATAATTTAATCTTGTGCCAGAATAAGATGAGCTTTCAAAATTTCTCAACATATTCTGCTTTGGTCTCTATGTAACATCGTTGTGTGCATGACAGAAGGCATGTGTCCTACTGACACATATGCAAAACTGCCAGCAATATAATACTGGCAGTATTCTGATAAATACTCAGTACTCAGATAAACAAGGCACTACCTATCCAAAAAGCAGTAGTTTTTAACTAATCAACATACAGAAGATGATTATAGCTTCTTAAAACTACTCATGAGTGATTATGAGTCACTGAAAGGCAGCTCCTTTGGAACAGCACATTTTGCAAACCAAATTGCCCTTCAGCTTGGCGCCAACAGGTCTTCTTCAGCTCTAGTTACGTAGAGGAAAAATAAGAACATCAAAGTGAAGTAATTGCAAACAATAAGGAGAAAAACTCAGAAGGTACCTGGTAACATACCATAAGAAATGCTTTCTTACCTGCTTTATCCCACAATAATTCGCCATGTTGTCTACCAGCTCTGACATCACCTGCACTTCATGTGATTTCTTATTATTCATAAACTCATCTGGTTTGATACCTGTATCAGATTAGGAAAATAAATACACCTTAACATAAACTGTAATAACAAGGATTTGTGATCAATCAGAAAAAAATAGCTAATATATGCTAGAATCTTCATATACTTTCAGGACAGTAAATTTTAATTAAAAACTCACTAAATTATTACAAGATTAAACTTTTGAATTATCAATGAATCAGCAACATTCAACACACTGTAAAACTCAGATTTCTTAAGATGTATATTTCTTAAGATGTATCATATCTAGTATCCGATCAGATATCAGATAATAGCTACTACAATAAAACTGTAGTAGTCCTGCTCATTGAAAAATATTTATTTTTTTCTTATCTATCACATTTACCTTTCCATAAATGAAATATAAGGGCAGGGACAATTAATAATCATATTGTACATGTTGTTAATGTAGCTGTCTTGGTTTGAAAGACAGGTGTTTGCCAATGAAGACAGGGACACCCCCTTGGAGTGGTGGATATGACCCCCCCCCCTTCCCTCCAAATTATTATACCTTTGAAAAAAATCACGGGCTTTCAGGCAAGAATATGGGTAAAAGGGAATAACAGTTTTTACTAATATGTATAACAAGGTGAAACAAGTAACACTAACAATAGCAACAACCAGCCCAGTCCCAAACCCAGTGACAGCCTTACAGACACAGCCTCCCCTTTGGTGCAGTTACAGTCCCAGGTGGCAGGGATGCTGTTGGCTCCTGTCCGGGCAGGGCGGGCGCAGTGATTCTTCGGCGGCTGCAGGGGACACGGTGGCGCGGGTCCCGGCTGGCTCAGATCTCCCGCGGCGTCAATGATTGACAAAAAATGGCAGAGGTGGATGGAGAAAAGTTTCTCTGCAAAGCTCACAGCGGAAACGCTGATCTCGGTGCTCCTCTGGACAGCAAGAAATCCAGGACGGCAAAGAGACGAGCAGAAATCCCGCCGCTGCGAGACGGGATGGAGCAGAGCTCACCCCTGAAACTGGAATCCCCGGCAAGGCACAGGAGAGAAAACCAGGGTGCAGCAAGCAGGAACCCCAATGAGCAGGAGTGCTGGTCTCCGCAGAAAAGAAGGCAGGCCAGCTTTCTCCGTAGCAGCCAGCAAGCAGACCTCCTCTTCTCAGCGAAGCAGCGAAAAAAACTGCAAATCCCCCCCCACCACACAAAAAAACTCTCTCCGAGCGCTTGGCCAGACCATTAGGGTAGGGCATAGGTATCATTGTCTTTGTTAATCACGCAGCCAATCAAAAGGATGACCCAGCAATTAGTGTATCCCAGCAACAAATGGGAAAGAAAAAAATTCCCAAAGAAAGGGAACAAAAGGAGAAGAATTTTAACCCACAACAGTAGAAAATTTGCTGACAATATCAAGAGGGAGATGATGCAGGGAAGTTAGAAGTTACAGGGTAACTTGTTAGAAACTGCTTGCTAGACAATGTATATTGTTTACTTAACATTGATTGTGTTTGTCAAAGCAGAATGAGAAGTAAAAGATTATTGACAAAAGCAGGGACTGTGACCCAGCCTGTATTCATGGAACCCCTGCTCTGGTCAGAACCAGAGTTGTTGTTTTGGACTTGGGCCGGGGACCCAGAGAGCATGCGCAAGAGAGAAAGGTGAAAAGTTCAAGACAAGAGGATGAGTATTTTACTTCCTCCTGGACCTCCCGGAGCCCACTACCAGATAACAGGGCGCAGGCGTGAGCGCATGGAAATGACTTTTAAACTCATTATAATACAAAGCGGGGACAGGCCATGCATATGTATAGGCGAATTGAGAAACTCGGTGAATGTGTAACATGTAACCTGATATATACCAAGCGGTGCCCGTGCTGCGGTGTGGGCGGCTTAGAGGAGTACCTCCTGCTCACCCAGCGCTGCAATAAACCTACCTACTTCACAACTTAAAATTATATAAGTTGCAGAGTCTTGCTCAGATCATTTTTGGATCAGAGATATCTCTAATAAACGTTAAGAGCAATACCAGGAAAATTCAAAGGAAGATGACTTTTTCTTTATTTACCCTATGGATGAATTACTGTCACAACTTTATGGTAGAAAATCACTCTTTTCATCGTTGTTGAAGAATGTTTTACTGAGATTGGGTCCACCTCCATCATGGGTTTACTGCTGGCAGAGAATACCAGGCACCCACTTGCAAATCTCTATACCACCCCTCCAAAAGAGGAGCTCAGAAGTCACCCCCTTTGGAGAAATCCACATATTTCTCTTAGGGGTCCAATGCTGCAGCACACTTGGATCTAATTAAACATGGTAAGTCTGAGTGACGGTAGAAGAAACAGGATCATTACTGATGAGCATGCTCCTAGGAAACAGGACTTTTCTATGACTATACAGATTAATGTATTTTCCTGTTTTCTGCCTCATGCATGGTATGTGTTCATCTGTCCAGAAACTCATCATTAGGCAAAAACTATGTTCATTTCTTGATCAGCTAATGCTGAAGAAGTGTGTTACTTCTTTAAAAGAGAGTGGGGAATTGAACTGAGCTCATAAGAAACCCACTGTTTTCTCTATTTTTCCCAAACCCCAAGGGATCTGTCTATTCCTTAAACATATGGGGTTTTTTTAATAAACTGTTATGACAATACTTAAAATCTAATATATACTCTATGATCTGACAAAAGAAAAAACAGACTAAAAGACTTAAACAATACAAACAGCAGAAACAAGTATTTGTTATTTCATTGAAGAATCTCCTTAATTTTAAAATCGTAAAGATCTACACAGCTTCCTAAAAGGCTCTTAATTTGTAAGCATATCAAATTAAAGAAAAACAGACAGGAAAAAATTGAAAAAGAAAAACGGTCTCTCTTTTTATTTATATTTGAACATTTCTGTGTCTGGATAGGCTCATCAGAAGAAGCAGAATTGAAACAAGAAGAAACAGACATTTAACTTCTTGACAGCAATAAAAGTTGTTTTTTCTCCAAGCCAGCACCATCACATTGGATGATGACCACATACTGCACCTTTACTCTTTTTTATGTTATGAACTCAAAAGACTGAATGGTTTGATGCTAGGTGAAGTACTGTGTCAGAGAATACTTAATCCAAATTAAGTATTTCAAACATGGTAGAAATCCAGAACAATTACCTAATTTACAAAAGATGAGGTTCCAGACTGAAAAAGCATAATTTATTTGTATCTACATATATAGATTAGTTATCACCTTAGCTATGGATTTTTTTAAATTCCTTTTCCTGCTTTCTGCAGGATAACATACTGTTTCTATTTCAGCTCAGGGATAACTGCACCTTTTGGAGAAAAATATGGGGTTTTTAATAAATTTTATTTTTCCTGCATTTTATGCAAAATTCTGATAGCTTTTACATTATTCTGAAAAACAAGCAGGCATATTACAAACGGCAAATTAATTACAAATAAATGTATCTGGGGACTGGTTTATATTGACCAGACAACTGAAAATTTGAATTTAAAAAAATTATACTAGTTTGACACAAACTATGCAAATTCTTTCTTTAGTATTAATTTTTTGAAATTAATACTAATTTCAAAAACCATCAGAAATTTAGAGAAATCTCCCTCTGTGATGAAAAAAAATACAGTGTGATTTCAAATATTTTACAGAAGCAGCTTGGCTGTGATAAGAGTAACAAAAAGCTTAATGCTACTAGTTTTAGTTGGTACTAAATGTTGCTCGTTTCCACTGTGAATCCCTAGCACTGGAACCTGTGTTCCATTGAAGAACTGTTTTAACTCTGTAGTGCCTTTTACTGCTACATTTTTAGTTGTGAAGCTGAAGAGATTGAGGAGAAATTCTTTTTTACATAGGGCTAACACAGACGTTCTTAAGATCTTCTATGGCAGGGTGCAAGGGTTTTTATACCCCAGCTACCTGTGGAAATTCAGATGCATCAGATAAAAAAGAAGAAATTCACAGTCCATGCCATACAACAACACCCATACAGAAGTTAACTGCTGTGATTTAACTCCATGATCCAGAGTGAGGAACTGGAATAACCATATACTCAAACACAAAACCCCTGAGGCAGAGTGATATTCCAGGACATGGAATTTAAAGATGGATCCATTAATAGTAATTGCATGGCATGGTTATTACCTAGGCCATAAACACACTGCAAAGATAGACTACTCTAAATCTACCCCTCACTTCTGCGTGGTTAGGAAGCAAAGTGGAACACCCTTTAGATTCAGAACCCTATTCTGAGTAGTTGCATCAACAACACGCTTAAAAATATTTGTGCTTACCAATTGTTCCCAGGAAGGACTGCAATATATCTACACTAAGATTGCAAAGAAGCAACGGAACTATGTTAGTATACAAACTGTGGAAATAGACTCAAAAGTCTGTTTGTCTTAGAAGAAGAAAATGCATTAAAAACATCTGAAACTTAAATGGAATTATCCTCATGCATATTTTTCAGAATATAAGCAACACCATCATAAAGTTGCCATTTTTCTCAGATTTACATTACCCTTGACTTGCAAGCTCTAGCAATCAGGGGACAAACATTATCTTCTGAAACACAGAAATAAGTCCAAAATATCTAAAATAGTTTAAAGTTAAAAGATCACAACTTTCGTTTGGCAACTTGCACAGTATGAATCTTTAAGCTGGTACTTTGCCCCTGCCAAATAATAATCAGGAACTTCAAATAAGTTAATTTAACCGGTATTTACTGCCAATTCAACACAAAGGTTTTGAATTATAATTCTATTGTACACATTTGGAACATATTTTATTTTTCCCAAGAAGTACATGCAATACAATACTTAAAAGTACTGCAAAAATACAAACTCAGGCCTCAGTACCCAGTCAAGCATCACTCCTGCCACACAGAGCACAAAATATTCAGCAATTGCCTTATTCCTGATTCTCCAGTCTGCATGACAAGAAGATGAAAGAATTCTCAAAGTTTTGTTTAAGGAAGTTAATCTAGGTATGAACTCAAGTACAAGCATAACTAAAGAACTGCTTAGAGGAACATGAAGAATTGGATACAACAAAATGAAAATAGTTAAAAAGCAAGAGGGAAAGAAAAGCAAAATACATTGTCAAGCAAGGAAAAGGCGCTTCTGATGAACTAAGAGCGTAAGGAAAGAAACCAGAAGGTAAGAGGAATGCACAACAAATCATTAAGAATATCTCAGCAATGGCATTCTAGTACTTCCAAAAAAACCTGGGGAGCCAACCATGAAAAATGGCAAAACTGGAACAAGATCACTGTAGAAAATGGGAGAGATGTGCAACATGCATATAATGGTCCTATCACTTAGGATAAGAAACATCAGGAGTTATAATGTATCCTAGAGGTAAAAGGGGCTAGAAAGCAAAGGCAGAGAGCTGCTCAGTCTAGCTCTTAAAAAGTAATTAGAAACCTCAAAGACAGTGACAAATCTCGAGAGGCTGAGGACTCCATGAACAGTACATTTGCAGTGAGAATGACTGCAGTCCAAGTAAAGAGAAATGTCAGTTTATCATCCAATTAAAAAAATATCATTGGGTTAAGATTCCCAGAGTCCAACTTGATGCCAATTTAAGAGCCTTTCAATTTTTTTAATTGCAGAAAAGGAAATTACTCTAGTTATATAGCATATAATTGGTATTATTATCCCAAACACACAAAATTAATAAAATCTTTTTTCTAAGACATCAAACACTTCTGATATTTCAGTGTGATACTGTCTTGGGTTGATTTTTTGGTGCCAGTTTTGTTCTGTATTCCTTTTCCGTTGACATATACGCCAAAAAAGATGTTTGTATCTTTAACATGTAACCCGGAAGAAGGAGCAGGGGCTGCTGGGAAGTCACAGCGGACAGTTTAACGGCCAGGGCTGCCACGCGATCTGGCTGCTCGAGCTGCTCTCTCTCTCTCTCTCTCTCTCCGCTTCTCCTCGTGGGAGTCGCTGCCTTGCTGCGTGGAGCAGAGTTACAGTGTCGCGGTTTCTGCTGGCTCAGTTGGTTGGCTTCGGAGGCTTTTCCTCGAACATCCCCTCTGCGTCTCCTGCTGCTCCTGGGTCCCGCCGAGGGAGGGGCCTCACGGCTCCATTCGGTCCGGGATTCCAGGGCGGACCGGGCTGGCAGCGGAGGCACGCGGAGCCCTCTCATTCATCATCCACTGGGAAGCTGGGACTGTGGTACTTTTCTTTCGGTTGTTTTTTTTTGCCCTTTTGCCACTGTTACAAGAACCGCCACGTGGGTTTTCCTTTTGGTCTTTTTTTTCCCGGGGGGAGAGTCGCTGCCTTGCTGCGTGGCGAGTTTCTTTTYTGTTTGAATATCTGACAGTTACTTTTTATCTGTATCCTTGTTCTCTGACAGTTACTCTTTATCTGTGTCCTGTGGGCACTGTGGTTTTTTTGTTGTTGTTGTTAATAAACTACCTTTTTTCTCTTCACCTTTTTTTGCCCAGCATCTATTTCTTGTTGGTGGAAAAAACTATCAAATTTATTTTCATTTCAGAGGAAACATTCCCCCTGTAACGTTTTTCCTCTGAAAACATTGTCTCMAAACCGAGACAAATTTTTTGGCGCCCAACGTGAGGCTGTAGAAAGTGAAGAGAAAATTGTAHTAATTGTATTTGTGTTTTAAATGCTTGGAATTGTTTTACCGTTAGAAGTCACCATGCTCCTTGAAGTAATGTTGTCATTTTGGTCTCTAGGTCTATTTGCCTATCCTTATATAGGGACAATTTTGTCCCTTGCATGGAAGTTTTATAGATCAGGGATATGAATTCCTGTTGTTATATTTATAGGTGTGGTAGTGATGATCTATAAAAGTTTAAGAGAGGTACTGGGAGCTYTTGAAACCTGGTATACTATATTGTTTCTCCGTCCTAGTCTGGGTAACCTGTTTTCACCTTTTGAGGATGTTCAGTTTCCCCTCGATGTCAAAGATGCTATTTTCCTGATGTTCCACCTGGTAGGAATGCTCTATACCATCTACAGCATGTATAGAATGAGAGCTGAGTTTTCCAGAGGGGCTACCCATACACCTTCCCCATGTGTGGAAAAATCTGAGTGGTGTGGGATATGGGAAAATATAGGCCAAATACTGAAGGAATTCTCTGAACCAATAGCCTTTAACTTCCCKCCTGAAAAAGTTCAGAACCCAGCTGAAGTGGGGAAATACCTGAAAGAGAAATGCAATGAGAACTGTAAGGAAAAGAAGCTCATTGCAATATGCTGGGTCCTGGCTAATGTTTATCGCACACTGCTCAATGCTGTAGGGCAGGAGACAGAGCCGGATGGACCAAAGGACAAGTCAGCAGACACCCCAGTCACTCARGCTGCAGCTAAACCAGACAGTGAGCTTAAGCCAGTAGCAGTTGCCCCTATCCAGAGAAAGAAACATAAAACCAAATCCGTTCGCCCCGTAGATGATGATGGGCAGCCAATAACCTCACAGCTAGCAGGGGAATCTGAACCTGTAGTTATTGTTGAGTCTCTGACCCCAGAAAACATTCGTGGCTTAAGGGGAGATTACAAAAGACTACCCAATGAATCTATATTGGGCCGGCTGGTCCGCGTCTGGGACACCGCAGGTGATAATATGATGCTGGATGGTGGTGAAGCGATGCAGTTGGGATCCCTGTCAGGTGATGCTGCTAYTGACCAAGGGATGGCAAGGGGGTCTGAACCTCTCAGTCTCTGGGCCCGGCTCCTAAAAAGTGTGAGGGAAAGATACATGTGTGTAGAAGATCTCCAGATACATCAGACCTTGTGGAAGACCATAGAACAGG